GTTTTCCTAATGAATTGATCTGCATGTGGGCTCGGCAGCAGCGGGGATATCTGAGAAACGAGCCTGCATATGAACTGTCGGCCAGCTTTTCATTAGACAGATATCAAAAGGGCACCTCGGCTAATTACGGCGCCTTGTGCATGTGTCAGTCCACACATCAGACCGTCTCCATCCCCACGGGATTAGATTTAAATCTTAGATGTAAACACCAAACAGCCAAATAATAATCTGCTGTGACAGAACCCCATAAATAATGCAGGGATCTCTGGGAATGAACAGGGCAGAATTAATTGAGGGACTTAACCTCATTGGCTGAATATGGGGGAAAATATCAAAGTTTTTTTTTTCTTTCTGCCATGTGATCATAAGCTAACTTTACATTGAGGTTAAAACCTCATGTCGAGCAGGGAGTGTTTGCTTTATATTCCTCGAGGAAGACCTTTCATCAAAAAATCTTTGTCTCCTCTCAGATGGGAATCGTTAATATGTGAGAAATAAGACATTATCCTCAGCCCAGAGGGAGGGATAAGAGAAAGGGAAAAAAAAGAAACCGCCCAAAAATGCACCGAGACAAAAGGATTCAGTAGTTCAGAAAATTCATCACATCTAAGTAGAGCATCAGAACACGCAGCCCAAAAGGATATTATATTGTGTTTGTGTGTGGGGGGGGGTTATCTAAGCTTTATATGTATTCAGCCCCTCAGACAACCACTTTTGTTCCTCTTACAGCCTCGCAGTGCAAACAGAGACAGATCCTGCTGGTGAATAACACTGTTACAAGGCCGGTCTCTGGGGTGGATAAGAGGAACAGCAAACACCCTGCTGTCTGGAAGAAAAGAATAGGTGGCTGTCATGTATCTGCCTGGCAGAGGAGGGGAAGGAGAGGCAGGGTGGAGGAGCGGGGGGGGGAGATTCCCCGTGATCTCTGCAGGGTGTCATGCTAAGGTAGAAACCCCCGCCCATCAAGCCAAACACACACGACACACAACAGGGGGGCGGGGTTCATGAGACTCGGAATCAGGGAGTGGAATGGTTATTATATTGGTTCTATCTTTTTTTTTTTTTTTTTTGGGATGAGGTTATGGAGGAGGTTAATGTTCGATCAATAAGACAACACTCTCTCACTTTTGCACATTGTGCCATTAAAGGCGCAAACAAAAAAGGAAAAGCTATAATGTTCATTGCCCCTGCGAGAAGAAAAATGGTGCTCGGGTTAATAGAAACATGAAGGGGAAAACAGAAAATAATACCCTGACACTAACAGAGGCCATTCATCTCCTGCAGTTTGTGTTTTTTTCCATTTCAGGCCACGCAAACCTACCGCTCAAACAGCCTGCTCTCAACAGATGTATGCACGCGTGTGTTTGCTAGTGGGTGTGGTGTGTGGTGTGTGGTGTGTGTTGGCAAACTGCTAGTCAACCATATGGAAATGTCACAGAGTGATCATAAACCATTATCCCCCCCAGTTTCTGAGCATTGGAATAGGGCAAATTTACATAAAGAGACACAAAGGCTCTGCCACTTAAATTCAAGGAGCAGACCCCCTGATGATCAGCATACTCTTCAAAATATCTAAATCCCGTTGTATCTCTGACACAAGCATTTTGTGTGTGTGTGAAGAGTGTGTGACAGATACATTTCCAAGCTGGCTGAAACAGAACATCACACCAAACCCGTAAAAACTGTATTCTTTTCCCCACCGTTGCGACATTAGTCGGCCTTAAAAACAGCTGTGGATCAAATTCAAACCAGGCCCACTGAACCGGTGGTGAAGAGCAGGAGGAAGAGGAGCGGGGAAGGGTTAATGGATGCTGTGGCAGACTTACAGCTGACGCGGAATTAATTCACCAAGGAGCGGTAGAGGAAAAGATGGGGGGGGGGGGGGGGGGGGGGGGGGGGCTGGCGGGAGAGGTTGTGGGTGGAGTTCAGAGGGTGACGGGGCAGATGCTGGTCTGGTGCCAATGATCAGCAAATGAAAGACAAATCATGTGATTCTGCTGCTATGGTAATAAATGGCAAAGCCCACAAGAGGAGGCCCAAATAATTGATGTCAGTAGAAGGACAAACGCATTCAAAGGCTCAGACATATTTAACATTATGTAGCTCATATCAATTGAAAAAACTACTTTTCTTTGTTCAAATGTTTCTTATTTGGTCTGCATGAAGAAGTATTAAAGCTTTAAGCTGTTATAAGCCTGTTTCTGAGTCCAGCGATCTGCCTCACGTCACTAGGTGGCAGCGAAGTGAACAAGCAGAATCTGTACACTAATTAATAATTTCGATAAAACTGTTGCTGACAACCGAAAAGTCTGAAAGGGAGGCGTTCAACAGCTGTAAAAACAAAAAAGATGTGCACACTGATACGCTCATCCTGTTACATAAGACTCCTCGGCTCCAGGCCTCATTCATGAAAGCCACCATTCATCATTCAGGCCACATTAAACTTTTATGCAACCTCAACCTCAAACAATCTCCAGATTATTCTCAATTCAAAAGGAACAAAAAAAAAGAAAAAAGAGAAAGAAAAAGCCTTGCCAGAAGGTATTTTCACGAGAGAGGACTTTGTTGCTTCCTGAAACTGCTGCTGTGTGATAATGCCCCAGATGGTTGGCTGCTCTCCCCTCCTTATTCTGACAATATGACTCTAATAAAAGAAGAAGCGCCACAAGTGAACACCATAAGGATGGAACCCAACTGTCATGTTTTGTAAAGCTCTCTTATAGACGCTTACACAGCGCAGACTCAGGCGGATCTAATCATCCATATTTATCACCCTCCTTACCCTCCGCTTCCTGCACATCTGGAGAAGAATTTGGGCATCTCTGTATGCGGGATGTGGTTGGTAGAGGCCTTAAAAATGAATGGAATAAATTCTCAAATATCTTTAAGGCTGTGAAAGCATCCCAATCCAAACAGATCAGGAAAAGTTATTGGTCAACATGTGTATGATTAAACCCATTTATCTACTTAGGTCCACTGCAGCTATTCAGAGAAATATTTATCTTCTCACAAAGATACATACCTTTTCCATAACTAAAAAAAAAGCCTTTTCAAATACTAAATAAAAAAGTGTTTTTGGATAAATAAACCTTTACTATAGCTAACGTTGCCATGTCTTTTGCTGCCTTGTTGCAAAATTCTCCATCATACGGCACATTAAAGTGATATATGAGATTTTTTTATGGATATCACTGTCACAGAGTGAATATTTAATGTGTACATTACTGGCACTTAGCATGCAGAGATTAAATAACGGCCCCCTCATGAATCACTGAGTCCATATTCAGTCCGAGCAGCACGACTCAGCAGAAGAGCATTATGAGTGAAGAGTCCAAACCTTAAAGCAGGTAATTATTTATTCATCCATTATATTTCCTGGAGCTTGAATTTCATACTTGCACTAAAGGGGATGAACATTTAAATAGAAATGAAACAAATGTGCCTGTTAGTAGAAATTCGCTTCTTAAATAAAAAAAACTGAAAAACAAAACCATTTGCAATACTTTCAGGAATGAAAATCATTTTAGGAGTAATTGGGAACCAAGTTGAGCCCAAACAACAACAAAAACCTTAAAATCAGCAATAAATGATTCCAAAAATGTGTAAATCTGAAAAACATTGGAATTTATATGCAGTCCAGTTAGTAAAAGTACAATGAACAATCTGCACAGCAAGGAAAAAAGTCTGATTATATATATATATGTATATATATATATTTTACTATTTTTAAGTTGTCTATATTTAATCAACAAGTTAAGCCATGTCATGCACAATATTGCCACCCTTAGGCTGCTGTAGAAGCAGCTTGTCCCTGTACAGTCAAGTTATTTACAAATTCAACAAATATTCTACGTGTCCTTTAAAAAAAAAAAAAAAAAAAACTTGATGCAAGTTAAGAGAAAATAAATCTTGATTCCATCCAGAGGCCCTCAAGTGTAATTAGTACATATGAACAACTTTTGTCTGTTAGGAACTGAAGAATGTCTTGAGTGGGGACACACAGGCGCACGCACACAGAGACACACAACCACTGATCTTTACACATCAGCACGCTGCAGAAATAATATCAAATGCCCAATAAACTAGCTGCAAAATTGAAAACTTAACACCAGGAGTTGTTATGACAATAATTTGATCTGGTCCGTCCTGGGTGTGTCCCACTGCCTGGAGGTGTGTGAAGGCACCACGAGGGTCCATAAGTCCTCCATCACGAGAGCCAAAGCTTGTCTTATCCGTACTTGAATGTGTCACCTATGCGTTTTTTTTCTCTTCCAGTTTTTCCAGTCGTGGATCTCCACAGAAAGAGGCCTCTGTTCCGAATCACAGTTCTGAGGGAAAAGGCACATCCTGCCAGGAGAGCCCCGCGGGGCCTGAGGAGAGCTGCCTCACCACCGAAGTCCCCGTCAGGCCCTCAGATGGAGCTCCACAAAAGGAGGGCACGTGCAGGGGAAATACGATGAGGTGACGGAGGGGGGGGGGGCAAATCATGTCAGCCGTCAGCCGTTCTTAAGCATGCTGCGCTAGAAACTAACCGCAAAGTGAACACGGTGCATGATCAGCCGTGAGGACTGTAAATGCATCACAGATTTACATGTATTAGTGTGCAGTTCCCAGTACCACCTTCTGTGTTGGAAAGAAAAAACATCAGCGGACTGTCCTGTGACATTTGTTAATATTGAAGTGTTAATAATATATCGATTGACTTCATATCGCTTATTTTATGTATCGTTAAAATAAAAAAAATGATGGTTGATGCAATATCCACCGCATTTCCCACAAAGTCCACCGGCAGTTATGGTTCTCCTTTAGGGTTTCCGAGTGATAGCATAGCTCTCTTTCATCAGGGTTTTAATATTGAATAGCTTCGTGTATGGAACAGGCAGTGATGTATGATCGTAAAGCCATGCAGCAGTGGGGAAAATCCTTTAAAAAAAAGAGATGTTAGGATTCGAGAGGATTGGGGTTGCAGGCAGTCTGTGCAGGCTGTTAGGACTGTACAGCTACACAAAAGAGTTCAAGGAGTTCATGGCGTTTACAGGGGACGGGGCCCCTGAGTTCTCGGGGCCCTCGGCAGTGTCCCTGCTGGAACTCTTGCCACTATACTCCCCGATAAAGGAGCCGTCCTCGTTGAACTGTCCGTCTCCTCCTTCCCCGTAGTCAACTAAACTGTCATCACTGTCGTCTCTCTTAACTGTCCCGTTAGATGGCGTGCGGCTCCCTTTTAACGGTTTATGGTCCTCATTGTCACTGGAGGAAAAAATAACATGCAGGTGTTACAGGTGAGATGGAGTGGCAGATGCAACAAGAAGATTAGTGATCACTTTTTTTAGAAGGAGCATCAAACGCCCAATTATCACTTTGGATATGACCTCCTGAGTCTGGTAGATAATCTTTTTTTTTTTTCTCCATTACATTTGAATTTGGCTTGCTCCACGTCTAAAAAATGGAAGCTATGAATGATTTGTTGGTTTCCATCAGGCAGCAGGGGAATAAAGCTCAAGCAATCAGACTTATTTTAAATTCCCCCTGAAACCAAATGTGAGATGGAAAATGTAGAAAAAGCAGTCTCTCCCCTCCCACCACTTTGTGATGAAAAAACAGAAAATATTATGCAATGAGGCGCATAAAAAGGTGTCAGCCAAACCCCGAAGCAAGCATGACCATAATCACAACTCTGCACACGGCATGGGAGGCCTGCAAAGAAAGCTTTCTTTGGACATTAGACAGATCATTGCAATGAAATGCGATCACAAAGCCGTCATAATGCTGAAACGTTCTTAAACTCTCATGCAAAAGGAGGTCATCATTTGGAGGAGAGAAGTGGTGCAGTGCGGCTTTGACTTAATGACAAGTGGTTTGAAGAAGCACCGAGCATGATGAAGGCTTTATGAGGAAATGATTCAACCAGTGACCTGAACATCCAGTTAGCCCACCACTCCTAAAACCCCCTGACGCCCTTACCTTCCTGAGACCTACACCCCTGTGAATAGATGGAGACATCCAGCTGTGATCCCACACAATCGTAAACCGCTGAAGTACTGGTTCCACACACTTCTTCTATTGGCGCACTAATGAAGTGCTCGTAACTACTATTAACTTAAAACATCCTCTTCTTTAGTCAAACAAGAACAGGTGATTTGAGTGAACTTCTGCCTTTATTGACATAGTGTTGGGTTCCAGCTGAGTGAAATGAAACAGCATGGACAGAAGGACAAAGGCACTATGATATTGGTACTCTTTGCCTTGTGATTTCTCTGCCGCTGCTTTTTGAGTTGGTGTCCACTGAACTCTTCCGATGCACTTAAGAATGCTGAGATTGTAATTTTTTGTCTTTATGAAGTTCAAAACCAATAAAAAATACTGATGCCACTAATGTGTATTTGAGTAGCAGAAGCCTTTTTTTTTGTCAGTACCCTAAAACCTTCCTTTCTGGATCTATTCAAACAAAGCCTTCTGTTTTCTGTCATGTTTTTCCAATATTTGCCAAATAACACTAAACTGCATTCTGTGGAAATAGTCATAGACAAATATGTTGTTTGTGTTTTTGAGTACATTTTGAGTTCCTAGTTACTACAAGAAGATGTTTGGCCTTACTAAATGAAGTCATTTGCTCTTACAGATTGTGGAGTTCAGTAAAAACAGGATGTTGGAGCAGTACAGAGAAAACAGCAACAGTAATCATCACAAGCAAAGAAATGCTCCTGTCCTTTTACAAACAGCATGAACCAGCACTTGTACACTGATTAGTTCCCTCAAACATGCTTTAATTTCTTATTGGATCCAAATGCATCTATATACTATATGCCTATATAAAACAATAAACCCATTCAACACATTATTGCATTAGAGCAAAATGTCATATAGTATATCAGATTCTATATCCATGCATGTCACATATTTCATATATGTATATATATATTGATATGTATTTAGCACAGCATCAAAGTCATAGAACTTACTTATGTCTAATTAATAAAAAAAAGGAATAGAAAATATAAAATCAACAACATCTTATAAATGGACTTATAAAAACAAAAGCGAAAAAAAACAAAAAAACAATAGTCAAGACTGCTAGACGTACAGATTTAAAGTGCTTCGTTTTTCTTGATTCTGCGTGCTATCGGAAGAGCAGCCTGGAAATGGGGTACTAGCAAGCTATATCTGGGACAGGCTGTACGCAGTTGTTGCAGCAGTGTTCCAGTCGGGCCGTAATCCACCGGACAAAGTACTGTATAAACTGTACGCACAATGTTTATGGATAGCTTATTAGTTGGAGTGGGATTCAATGCTTGGGATTGGTTTAAAAATGTGCCACAAATTACCGTACCGTTTTGTCATTTTTAAAACTTTTTCATAACAGTCATAACTAAGCTTTTAAAACACCTAATCCCTTAAACCTGAAGAATCCTGCTCCTTAAATGACATCACAACGTCATGTCCAGCACACACACAGCAATCCAGCAGAAGTAGCATCCAATAGGTCTCAGAAACAAGGTTTTTTTTTTTAAGAATACAAGAAAGAAATAAAACTTTGTGCTTCAGGGATGCAGAAGTTCAGACCGGTTGGAACTTCCTCTTGACGTTGTGGCTGTTAACGGGGATTTTGGGTTATTTACGAGTCAAGTGTTACAGTTGAGAAGAGAGAGGAAGCTTGGGCCCAACCAGAGAGAGTAGATCTGGGCCAGAAGCGGGTGTAGGGCAAGGGCTGATGGGTAAAACGGGCTCTGGGGGGGCTCCAGGAGGCAGAGCACTTTCTCTCACCTGTATTCCCCAAAAGTACAGTCATCGTCTTTCATGGGCTGGAACTCTGGGTCCGTGTGGGCATCCTCCTTCTCTTTGACTAAAGACGTTCAGAAAAATATGAGACAAGCTCTCTCAATATAAATGGGGGGAAAAAACTTCAAATAAAGATCAACAAAAATATCAAATATGCTATAAAGATGTATCGATATGTTTCGGAAAGAGAAATGCTGTTAAAACGAAAATTTTCTCAGAAAAGCAAATAAAATAAAAGGAATGTATTCAAAACAGTTACTAGGGTGGAGCTTTAATTCGCCATTTTGTCTGATTATTTGGAGCTGTCGAAGAGCAGTGTGTGGTTTTGCGCAGCTACTCACCTGGATATTTCCCTCCTTTATTCCTCTGAATGAAGCAGATGATGAGGAGGATGAGGATGAGCAGAGCAATGGCGCACATGAGGCCGATGAACCATCCCTGAGTGGCGATGTCCACCTGTCTGCTGGCAACAGCTGGCCAGACGAGGAGAAGCAAGACTCATTTCTGCACCCTTTCATTCCCCCGTCTCATCCCCAGTGAGGAATTACCCATAATTACTAGCTGAGCGGGTGACACATTGTTTTGGCAGATACTATGTCTATTAGTTCAAATAATCGGCGCATGGGCAGCTCGTGATCACTGACGCCGCTAAAGGGGACAGCCGACATGTTAGATCATAAATCTCTTGGAAATATATTAGCGATGACTGGAAATCCATCAGCGGTGGTCCGGAATCGGACGAGAGCACGCAGACAGTGACATAAACACGTAGACAATCACAGCTACACACAGACACACACACGGGTTTTTCAGGGGGGTGGCATTAGGCACGCTGTTAAAACGCCACACACGTATTCAACTTCTATATTAGAGTCTCTGATTCTGCAACTGGCAAATCTACAGGACAAGAACGACATTACTCATACGCTGCTATTTCATGTAGCTACAGCATGCCTGATATAAAGAGGAGCGCGTCTGTTAAACTCATGCTCGGCTTTGAGGAACAGCGCTACGACACAGGCCGCCACACACTCTGCACAAGTCACGGCGGGAGGAACCTGCTCGGCCAGGCCAGGCCGGGCCACCCACAACCCCCACCACGGCCTCACCTGGAACCGTGACCAAAAGCTCCTCGGAGTGGTGGAGCGACTGGTCGTGGCGACCCTTGGCCGCCACGCGCACCCTATAGGAGAGGCCGACCTTTAGGTCTTTCAGCTTAACGTTCTGAGAGCCGTTCGCAAGCTCACTCTTCCAGTCCTTTTCACCTTCACCTGCAGGAGGGGACGGTGATGAAGAGAGGTGTGTTTGAGGGAGCGGACAAATGGGGCCATGGGCGTAAATGACATTATGGAAACTATCTTGCTGATAAAAAAAACATCTACTGGCATCAGCGTTATACTTCCAGCAATTGTTAATATTCATGGAGTTCTAAAAATCCATTAAGTTGATGAATGAATTGTTGTGGTGGCCCCAAAAGCTCAATGCTTTTTCGCAGGTTTTGTGGAGAAAAAACAAAACGTAATATTGAAAATGTTGAAAGTATTTAAGCCCTTTGTATGGAATACGCTGGAAAAATAACAGGAATAATACAACTATCCCGAGGGACAACGGAGTGTTTTTGTATGCGCGTGTGTTTTCTCCCTTAAAGCCAGAGCGAGGCACCTGGGCTTCCACAGTGGCTGATGCCAACCTCATTTAGAAAAAGTTGGCACTATGTGTAAAATGTTAATCAACATACTGTACTCTGTAGCCACTTTTATATCTTATATGCAAATGTAATGCAACAACATTGTTGTACTATGTCAGGAAAAAGACTAGGTTCATATTTAACTTTCAGTTTACAGCAGCCTTTTTTCAACTTTTCCGCTTTACACAGTCTGACCACAAACATTTTATGTTTTTATGACCTCTTCATACACTGTTGGGCCAAAAAAAAAAGTAATAAAATGTAAAATGTTGTTTAACCACCTTTAGTTTTACTTTATCACCTTCTGCGAAGATTAAGATAACTGAATGACTCCACATTGATTTTTCTCTGCACACAATTGCATTTCTATTGCTGGCCGTGTGTAAAGTCTTAGCCAGCAAATCCCAGAGATTCTCTGGGTGGTTAAAGTCTGGACTCATGCTTCCTTGAATCGCGATGAATTACTGTATCTGTATTTTCGACATGACCAGTGTCATCATGGTGAAATAATCCCCTGATGGGAAAAAGCTGGACATCCAGTACATTCTGATAAGGACCTTATCTTTGGGGAACATAATGTCACTGAACCTAAATCTGAATAAATCAAGCAACTTTGGTCAAACCCTGTTGGGGACACTTTCCTCGACTTTTATGTGTTTTTTTTTGGCCAGGCAGTGTAAGGGCTGAATTTGTGTTAGCCGAAATATTCTTTTTCAAGAAAGTTCTACCAAAATGATCAAACAAAAACAAAATTCCATAAACATGAGGTGTTTATGGAATAAAAATAACAAGGCAAAAATAAGTCTTAATGAGCTTTGAAATTTGCACTTTTCTGCACTCTTCAAGTTCTAACTGTCTTAGTGAAGTTTTCAACGGCTGAATAGATTCCAATGTATTTCTAAATCTAAAAAAAGATCATTTTCAAGGATAACAATGATCAACGTTTTGCTCTGACAGTTAAATGATGCATAAATACCTCCAGATTTGACGAGCACGTGTAGCATGCGGACGTTTAGATCGAAGGCAAGCAGTGTATTTGTTAAAAAAAAGTCAGCTGCCTCATTGTCTACATGTCAGTGTTGATTCCTCCTTCATTTGATTTTCTTTTGTTTATTTGCATCTGCTCTGTCAGGGCCACCATACACCCACACACACAACTGGCAATGAGCTAAACATGAAGTGCGCTGTGAGTGATGAGCTTTTCGATCACATTTTCTTCATTAGTGGGATCTACATTCATGACACTGATGAAGCTCTCTAGCTAAATGTCGTCAACGGTAGGTGTGAGAGAGTCATACTACAGGGTTTTTTTAACCCTCATTGCAGGTGCATCAGACAAATAGGAAGTCATTTGCACAACTCGGCTGGCATGGAAAGAATGTGATGTTTGTTTTTTTTCAGGTCCATCCACAATGACACTGAAAATGAGCACAGCTCCAGTGTAATCAGCGATATAATCACAGGAAGCCTTGCTTAGCACATGTGGGACTGCTCTGGCAGGACCCAGCATTAACATGACAGCCAATATTTCAATTCACCTGCACAAGCCAATAATAAAGTAGGAGTCTCTTGCCACCTATGGAATGAACTGAGAGAAATACAGGCGTGTTGCTTACTGTCTACTATGTACTCTACATATACGTTTTTCTCTGGGCCCCAGTATTCCCAACTGATCACGGCCCCGTCTTCTCCAACCGAGGAACTAATGTTTGCAAAAGGACTCGCAGGCCGCGCTGCGTACACAAGAGAAAAGATAACCATCAACACTGCTCTGTTGGTCATCAGACAACCACAAACTAGAGAGATAGGCTTTACTTTAATCACATCCTCACTGTATGTTCTTACTGTACAATCAATTCTTTTCAACCAAGATGCTATACCGAAAACAGAGCACAATTAAATCTATAGAATACTATTTAGACATGCAGATTACTAAGATAACAGCAGAGTTTGTACCCTTGAGGGTTGGACGATGTGGAGGAGACTGTGCAATGGGATGAGAGGTTTGCAGGTTCCCTGTAAACAACATCAAGAGGAGTAAAGACGGCACCACACGAAAAGCACACGCGCGCACACACAGGCAAGACTCGAGACGTTTTCCACGACGGGAGACACGACAGACACTGAGTCATTGTACAAAGAGCACACTGTTCATTAGCATGCCAAGCAAAAACCTCGCCATGCAGCCACCATGGAAGAGGTATGACCGGGGCAAATTTGCCAGTGAAGTAAAAGGGGGAGTTGCACAAATATGAGAAGGGCATGCTTATATGGCTAGTGTTGTATCTGCAAAAACATGCATCTTCCTGCATGCATCACATCCCTGTCAGCCTGCGAAATTACAGCTTGAGGGGATAAAGTTATCTCGAAAAAATGTAAGGGGCGGGTTGGGCTGACCACTTCCACTCAAAGGGATTTCACAATGACATAAAACATTGTATGCAACAATTTAGCAGGTAAAATGTACACATATTCATCATGCAGTTTATGAGAGAAACAATTCAATAAAATGCTTTGAGGCAGTCAAAAACCACAAACAAACCTGAAAACGATAAGGCTGCCACAAGTTAAAATGCACATGAAAAATATCCACCATATTTTATATTTAATTTAATTAATTTCTGGAAAGCAGTCTAAGACCAAAAACTATTCATTTTAGGCAATCAAAAATTATTATTATAATACCGGTAGGCTATAGTTTTTACATTTATGAGGTTGGAGGGAAATCAATAGTTGGCAGTTTTTCTGCAGGTTTTTGTTTTCATACCTGCTGATTTAATAAATCAATAAATATGGCTGAATTGTGTTCATTTTAACACAATAAGCAAAATTCAGTTTTGAAATATGTTAAAAGTGGAACTGGACTTGAGTACTTTGCAGCTGTTGCAAGCTCTTCTCTTGGTGCGTTTCAAAACATATTTTATAAAGCTTTGTGCTGGCAAATAATTACACATTGCATTTTTAAACATATTTTTTCTCCTCTTTCAATTTATGTATTGCATTTATGCCAACATTAATAGGAGTAATATTTACAAAAATATTCCGTAACTATTGTATGATGTTCTAAATGTTCTGTTTTCTGATGTAAAAGAATGCAAAAATATATACATTTTTAATTTTTATTATTCTTTTTTTATTTCACCTGGACTTTATATTTACTTATCCCAGTGGTCATTTCCTTCTACGTTTCAGCATTTGATGACTTACCTTCATCCACAGTGGTGACAACTTCCTGAGAAATGGCTTGCCCTGGTCCAGTGATTGTTTTGGCATTCAAATAAAACTTGTAGCGTGTGTTGTACTTGAGGTTGGGCAAAGTGACTGAGGTCTCATTGGCAGCCAGGGCCAGCTCCTCCTCTGTGCCAAGTTCATTGGAGTTATTAACTACAAGGGTGAGGGATGATAACAAGAACCACGGAGTGGAGTGGAAAAGGAATGTGGGAAGTAAGTCGAGTTGAAATATGGGGAGGGGGGGGGTTGGAGATGGAGTGTCAATGATGAAAAAGATAAATTGAAGGATTTAGATAACAGAGGTGTAGGGTTCAGAAATAGAAAGGTCGGAGGGACCAAAGTTGATTTGTTAATTAGTGTTGTCGTAATTAAAATAAAATGACATTAAGCTACTCTAGTCCTTTCTTTTTATATTTCTAATAACATGAACAGAATGGCAGTATAAGACATGAATAAGTTTGACATACAATACTACAAACTACATGAAGGAGGGTGATATTTACCTGGCCGAGGCATAACATCTAATTTGTTGTCTTGTGTAAATGAATACAAATGTTAAGAAAAGCACTTACATGTATGATATTTGAGGGTGTAGCCGGTGATGTGACCGTTATGCTCATGAGGGGGATTCCACTCAAGGGTTAGAGAATCCATGTTTGGGTTGGTAACTACCAAGGAAGATGGAGGTCCCGGCACTGAAGAAAAAAATAAGTTGAAGAAATGCACAAATTCATAAAAACACAGATGATTTTGAAAATAGTGCCATCATTCCCCTATCATAATTATCATTTCTGATGCTTTCAGATTTTTTAAATCTGCAACTTTACATTAAGAGTTTCTCTAAGCTCTTGAAGCTAAACTCATTTATTCATACCTGTGTAATATTTTATGGATAAAGTATGTATATGTAGCATATGCACATAAATGCAAATATTCAAAGCCTGTCATCTTTCTGCCCTCAGGTCCTACATACAAATGAAATAATTGGCTTACTTCCTTCAGGTGTCTTAAACTGCTGGTCTGGGCTCTGGGGGCCCTCTCCTTTGCCGTTAAACACCTTCACATAGAATGAGTAGAGACTGAAGGGGTGCAGAGCAGGCAGCATGCCATGGGTGTGGTTCCCGCTGAAGGTGAGGCTGTGTTTCCCTGTGTGATCCGGGTGGTGTTTGTGGAGGCCGTGCTCTCTCCAGTAATAGACCTGCAAAAGGCAATTAACATACAGTGCAAACGCTTAACTTTTGTATGTTGTGTGTATGTAACTTTGTGGGAAAGCCTGACATATCGCACTTCACGTGAAGCATTAAGCTATACCTTGTATCCTTTGAGATGTCCTCGGATCAAATGGGGGGAAACAGGATCCCAGTACACCTTTGCCTGGGTGCTGGTGAGCACTACAACATGCACATTCTCAGGAGCTGCTACTGGAACTGTGCGGTTTAAGAGGAGGACGGCAAAAGAGAGGGAGGGCATATGATGAGTATCTCTTAAAAGTTAGAGACAGATGCATCAGGGTGGGCTTGGAAGCACGGCAATTTTGTAGGAGTCTAAAGGAGACACTTACAGTCCTCTCCCGAATAGCCGATGGCAACGGCTGGCTCAGGTCCTTCTCCAAATTCGTTTACAGCCTGAACCTTTAGCTCATACGGTACAAATGTGGGCGTTCCAGAAACTGTAAATTTGGACTTGTTGGCCACAGTAACTTGGCTCCAGTCACTGTCCAGTCTCTGCTGCCTCCACATCACCTTGTAGTGAAGCCCTGGACCGTTAGACTGGAGGCCTGACAGAGGCTACACAGAAGAAAGGGGAATTTGTGAGTAATTTTCCATGATATTTTTTGTCTTAGAAATAAAAAAAAAGCTATTCTTTATGGTAGTGAGCAAACTATGAGGTAACTATTAAACTAAGAAAGTCTAATAGGACGCTCAAAAAGACCAGAACTGCCCCTTACAAAGCTTACATTTGAGCTTTCTTGTATGAATCTGTTAATGCAGGAAGATTCAAATGGAAAAGGCATATATTTTGTTACCTTCCAAGAAATAACAAGATTGTTGTGTTCTGTTCCATATCCGTGTACACCAGTTGGATTCTCATCTGGGGCTGAAAAACATATAAAAGACAAACCAACAGCTTTTCTCACTGAAAAGCTCCCGATGATTCACATAAATAATTTTCTTACAGTGTGAAATGAGGCCACAAGCTGCCACTTATGTGATACATTAATGTGTTGGGTTACCGAGTACTTTTGCATTCCAATTCGATCTAATTTTAGGTGTACCTGCGGGATCTGTCTTGTACATTCGAGAGGGGGCGCTGTGATGGCTGTAACCAACAGCGTTGAGGGCCAGCACTCGGAATATGTAGTGAACGTGTGGTGACAGTTTGAGGTGAGCTGTTGTCTTGGTCCCAGGAACCTCCGTAAGGTTATGCCAATGACCACGATGGTGCAGGGTGTCTTCATACTGGATCAGAAATTCTGTGTTTAAAAGGAGAAGAATTATTTTCCAGGGTCGGACAGTATATCTATGCAACAAGCTTAACACTTTAACGCCACTTGGACTTGAAAAGTTCAGAATGACACCTCTGAAAGAGAAGTAAAGCTTTTAAAATGAGTATATTTTTCCATTTTTAAAAGAATGATGGGCATGTGCCACATGCTGAATAATCAAATGGGAAGTGAAGCTGTTCATTACGTCTCAGTGATGTTTCTTTGCATTTCGTTTTCTGAAAACAAGGTTTGGGACTTTGTGGAGGGAGCGTGGAGCTCAGCTGCTGGGGGGGAGGTGTGGGGAAGGCTCAGGGGAGCAGTCCCAGAGGACGTGATTAGCACATCTGGAATCAGTTGGCTTATCACTCTCCCCTTGTTTAAGAACGGTAGCGTGCTGGACATGGGAGACGAAGGACCACTGACTAGGATCCAGCCACTGAACCACAGAATAACTGAGCAAACGGAGCGTAACGCAGTGTGTGTGCGGGTGTGTGTGTCCGCGCAGGAAATAAAAGTCGGACGACAAACCCGTGTCTTGGAGAATCTGTCGAGGCACCCTAAGGTGGCTGAACTGCCACAGACTTGGTGGAGTTTTTCTTTTTGGGGAATTTTTCTTCACCGACTTTCTAAGGGAAAAAAATCCTTCCATTCTGCACTGATGGAGTGACACCTTTTGAGCTAACTCAGGCAGGCAGCTCCAGCTGCACTGCTGCCACATGTACGCTGCTCCTCACACTCCACACGCCATACATCAAATGCGCCCTTCCAATCTGGGCAATTCATCTCAGCTTCAAAATTCCCATCTCATCCCCTTTTATGTCTATGCTCTGACTGCCTCTGCTAACAGCTTCATTCTGCATCCTGGCTGCTTTTTTCTGTTCAGACCTCCAACATTACAGCTATAATCCGTGGGGGCCTGTCAGAGAAATGCATTCATCCCTCCATTACTGTGAAATGTGGAGGGATGTCAGAACCAAGCCAAACCCCACATTTTAAACATGATCTGTCTGACTGAACTGACAGGTACCCTCATAATTTAGGAAATCTGTGTAAAGGACAAAAACATAATCTAACTAATCTATCAAATCTTTAAATTGATTTGTTTTGACCACTGCTGTTTCCCTGCTTTCTTTAGGATTATTATTCATGAGGGAGAAATTCTTCTTGTTTTTAGAAGTAAAAAATACACAAAAAAATATATTCGGAATTCTGTTCAAGTGTTTGAGTTCTGCTGTTGTAAAATCCACTCAACTTGTGGATTTTGAGAGTCTTTCCATTCAGATATTTCACAAAAGCAAAGGCAAAGAACACATCTTTCAAATAGATAAGCTGCTTATTATTTTTATTTTCAATGTAACATGATGAATCTTGTGCTGAGAGATGGATAACTACATGTATTATGTGCCTGCTGTTGTGAGCACTGAATGTGTCAAATAACTCTTTAAAGAAAATGCAGTGGGAACTTCATTATACTGCAGACAGGTTAAAGAGAGGCATAAAACTCAAAGTGAGCCGAAACCAATACACCCAAGCACCCTCTGAATAGGACACATACTCTGAATAGGACTGTTATGTTCATCCCCAGGGGTCCAAGTGAGCTGAACGCTCCTCTTTTTCTGGTCTGTCAGCTCCAGGTCAGTTGGGGGGTCGGGTCGCTCTGGGAGAAAAGCAGCATATGCAGCAACATCAGAACATCCAGCAGTGAATATTCGCTGTCTTACTTCACTCTAAAGCAACTGAAAATGAAGATTCTGTTACAAGATTAAACAAAAAAAAAGAAGGATATTCGGGCCAGATTTCAGCGGTGTCAGAATCAGATGAATGATGAATGAAGTTTGATCATTTGACACACTGCAGATCTCTTGACATGTTTATTTGTCTACAGGTTCCATAACGATGGTTTTATGTGGTCAACCTTCTATACACATGCAGACACCACATCATGCAAATGAAATGGCTGTTTCACAGCATGAGGATGATGATAATCGTTCTGCCTCAGAATCAGTAGATAGACCATCCAGTTAAATATCTTTTGGGATTGTCATGTTGATGCAAAATGCAAGCTTGGAATTAGAATAGGACAGGACCTCCACATATTTCAAGCAGAGCAAAGGGGATGTCTCTGCTTTGAATTTGAATTTGATTTTAACTAAATGGTTTCACCGTTTGTTCAATGTTTGCTTTATGCACTCAACACGACCGCTACTGAAAAATAAATTAAAAAAGGAAAAAGACGAGAGTTGACATCCAGCTCAAATCAATGCCTTAAAGTCAAGACAAACAGAAAAACTCACAAGGCTTTGTGAATAGCACTAAAAAAAATACATGCTGCTTTTAACCCAAACATCCAAAAAAAACATCACAGGCCCATGCTGGCAGAGCAGATCTGGGTGCTCATGTGTGCTGCAGGTTTACCGTAGACTACAGCTGGGGTTGGCGTGGCCTCTGCCAGGTAGGAGGGCGGGAGTGAAATAGGCAGTTCAGTAATCAGTCAGCCATAAGAACACAGAGATTATCTGTCTGGCTCAGAAGACAGTGATCAAATATTCATGCTGCTGAAACGATTGCTGACTGAATCTGTCCTGATGCTCGTGTAAACTCTCAGCAAATTGACCTGGAAGTGCTAACAGGCAATCTGCTGTGTAAATGTCAGCATACATCTACTTTTCAAGGCAACCTAATATGGTAAACTCCAGCATTTTCTGAATTTAAGGGTTTGTTGCCTTATTAGTCACATGAGTCCTACACGGGGTCACATACCAACAACAGTGAGCTCTGCACTGGCTGAGTCCTGGTCCAGAGTGGTGTTCATGATGCACGTGTACACCCCCGCATCACTCTCTGTTACATCAGTGATTGTGAGGCTGTCAGAGTCCACAATAAATCTGCAAAAAAGAGAGCTTGTAGTTTATACAATTACATGTAATCTTCAACATTTAACTTGTCAACAACAAGAAGACCATTCTGAGGACAGAGATGAGACCTAACATAGGAGAAAAAAAAAGATGAAACCTCTCATCATCGGGGAGCTCTCCATCATCTTTGAGCCAGGTCATTGTGGGGTTGAGGGACTCGTCATGTTTTACTTTGCACTCAAACACCACAGACCTGCCCCTCTGGACCACTTTGTACTTTGGCTGCGTCAGGATGCGAGTGGGGTCTGACAGGAGGGAAAGAAAAGAAAGTTATGGAAACTTTCACCTTTCACATTCACAGGTTGGCACATAGCTGAACTCTGACTGAACACAAACACTAAACTAAACTAATTAAAAAAGAAGGTAAATCCAGGCAAATAATTAAACAGCTGGGTGGTGTGAATAATATCATAAGTAAATAGTATCATCATGATGTCCTTATGTATGAGTCCTCAAACTAACCCTGTAACACTAAACATTACTATCCAACAGGTTGCCTTGGAGCTGTGCACGCTCTCAGGTTTCTAGTTTGTTAGTCATTCAAAATCAAATACTCACCTTTGACCTCTAGGTGGACATGATTCTCAGAAGTACCAAGTTGGTTTCTGGCCACACAGGTGTATTTCCCACTGTTTTGGGCTTGAGCTATATCAATCTCTAAAGTGCCGTTGTCATGGAGAATGTAAGGGTCTCCATCCAGAGTGCTGGAGCGACTCTCCTTAAACCTACGGCACAGGGTCGACCACTTTGAGTCTTCAGCTAGACATAATAAAACGCTTTTGCTTACTAAGGGCTCGTCAACTCACCATGTAATTTTCGGAATGGGCGATCCAAATGAGGCGCAGTCCATCAGGGCCCGGTGGTTTTTGATGACTTGGTAGATTTTGTTGGCTGGTGTCAGCACTCGGGGCGACTCCGCTACAGTGAGGCAGCAGCAATTATTTTCATGTTCTTACCTTCAACAAATCAGTATGGCCAGAAAATAGCCTTCACACACAAGTGAATCTTGTGTGAGGGACTTACAGAGGACGTTGACGAAAGCATTGGACAGGAGGTAGCCATACTCATTGGAGACGTTACACTGGTACACAGCGCTGGCCCCAATCTGCACGTCAGTAAAGATGACTGTGTCGTCCTCAACTTTTCTGCTCACATCTTTTGGTGAATCTGTGAAAGTTTAATAGGAAAAAATATATATATATATACTAAAGCATTCTAATCTTTGGAGATTAACGTCCATGTATTTGAAAAATAAGAGAAAGATATGTACGTTTAAACTTTAAACCTTGAATAATTAAGTGAATATTTTGGACATGATACTTTTAATTAAAACTGTCTCTACAGCAGCCTTTTTGCAAGTGAGCTTAGATTGCAAATGGTGGGAGTCCAATATCCTCTCTTAGTCTAACTTAAAGGCGCAGCCATTGTAATGATAAGAATTTAAAAAGGGGAACTTGAAGGTGTAAAATACAGAAAAGCTAGTTGTAATCAACATGTTTTTTTTTTAAGTCATAGGTCACATCTAGGCAGTATTTCCTGCGAGAGTACATTATTATTGCTTATAATTGGTGAGCAAACAGCATTTTTAACTGCACATCGTGATAACTGCTGTCTATCTTCTGTCTGCCGTGTATTCAACGCGTGAAAGGGACCGAGAGGGCTGTGACAGCACAGAGAACACAGAGAGGCATCGTTCAATGGAAGTAAAAACTAACTTAATCAAGGAACCTTAACATAGAGTTTACGTTTCAATCATAATCTTTAAGAAGCACCGAATGAAATATGCCAAACTCACAGACCGCTTTGGAAATCTAATTTCAAAGCTGGATAAACTTCAATCAGAATGGCAAGTTACACTCACTCTCTATAGGGATGCCATTCATTGACCACTTGATGGAGGGCTTGGGTATGCCGCTAGCCCTGCAGATCAGTGAACTGCTCTCTCCTGGAGCCAGAACCAGGTTTCTGGGAGGATCAGTGATCCAGTAAGGAGCAGCTGCAAAGACAGAAGAGCACAGCAGTGAGATGGGAGAATTAATTACCGAACACTATCCTTCTGGCATCAGTGCAGAAACCAATTATAAGAAGGAGGAAGAGGGCAAATGAAGAGACAGGAAGGCAAGATGAAAGCCAGATGGACACCTGGAAGGTTGATCTCTGGCTCACCTTTGACCACGACACGAATGATGCTGTGCACGGAGCCAAGTTGGTTCTTGGCCATGCAGCGGTAATCTCCTGCATCCGACTCCGACACATTGACAATACGCAGGGTCTTGTTGTAGTGCAAGAAGGTTGTGCGCCTGGCTGGGAAATCACCACTCACTTTGGTCCAGGAGATGTGAGGAGTGGGACTGGATTTAGGAAACAAATAGTGGTGACCCGGCTGGTCTGCACTGGAAGCATTCAAATGTTCAGTAATACAGGATTCCCTGACTTACAGTCCATCGGCAATGCACTCAATCTCCAGTACGTGTCCTTTCAGCACCATCTTGGAGCTGGAGGGGTCAGATGGGATGAGGAAAGCTGGCTTCCTTTCATCCACTGGGGGCTCTGTGGACAACACACAAATACACTGAGTCAAAAAGGGTAAAGTTCCATCTTCCCTGCATCCCTGATGCAGAGAAGGGCTTTCACGTTCACCAGCACCCTTCTACTCTACAAAGTGATGAATTCAAACCGGGGTTGTTCATTCAGTCAGTGCTCACAAAAGTAATGTTTTCTGGTTTGATACAAACAGATTGCCATCTGGTAAATTGCCAGTAAACTGCCATTTTAATAATTACAACAAAAATCAACTCACAACTTAGGTGAGGGACTAAGAGCTGCTTTCTGCTAACTTCTTTTGGCCAATGAAATGCCATTTAAACGCTAAAACTATGAAAACCCAGGTGCGCCTTTATAATTATGGTGAAGATTTTCATTCATTTTAAATGCCTAAAATGGGGTGGAAAAAAGTGTGGAACTGAGACTAAATGAACATTTCAACAGCCATAAAAGGTTAAATGAAATGAAAATCAATACCGAAAGAGAGATTAGGAATTTGGATCTTACACTAGGCTGATGTTTGTTTGATAAAAGAGAGGATTTTAAAACATTTACACTTTAATGAGTTTGATTAGAATCAAATCCGTGAATTAACAGATTAATCCTCAACACTGTATTTTAATCTGTGTAAATTAGTATCGAACCACTTACAGTTATACTTCATTTATTTTTAGCAGTTTTAAAGAGCCAATTTTTAAGATGTTATGCCCTTAAATTGAATTTGCATACAGTGCTCATGTAAGCGGTTCTTAAGAGGAAGTACATAGTGAAGAAAAGGGTTTTGATTGGACAGAGCAGGAGTGACTGAAGGGCAAGGGATTCACAGGGATTCTTGGGGTTGAGGGGCAGTTAGTGGGTAAAGCTACACATCTATGCTCTATATTACCACCAGCAGAGGGCGCCAGATCTCTCCCCAGAATAAAAGCGGTGAGGTTGGAAAAAGTCCCAGGATGTCAGGTTGAAGGGTTGGTGTTAGTGGGTGAGGACTAGAGCTTGAAGCTCTAGACTGGGGTGAAACACTAGGGGGTGCCACAACTCACCACTAAATAAATCAGTGTCATTGTAAAAAGCTGCCATTGTGTCATTGATTGCATCCACTGTAACACAACAACAAAAAAATCACATGCACAAAAAGTTGAAATCATCATAACATAAACCAACAACAAAACAAAGACAAAACATGCTTTTACAACTTAACACAAGTGTTCAAAAGGAGAGCAACAAAAAAAAGAAATCATCGCAGCGATAAAGTTGCAGACGAGGAATGATTGGCATCGGATTCCGCTGTTAACGGACTGCCGTCAGTTCAGCGGCTAATGCGGGAGTGATGTGAGCCGCCTTTGTTGCCGCTGTTTACAGAACGTCACACAGACTCGATGGTGAATGCCTGCTTGGCAGATGATGTGCAGAGAACCATGAGGGTTCTGACAATATGTCTTTTCAGGGAGACGGCGGCTGCTGGCATCTCTGAGGACAGGATCTGAGATGGGAAACACTGTTTGCCTCCCACACAGTCATGTTAGCACATACTGTGCAATTGCAAATGAACCGGCTCCCATGCAAACACATTACACCAAAACACGGTGGCTCCCTGCCCGCAGCTCCCATTCAAAGGTTCCTAATGTCTTGAAATATTAAAGGTTGCTATGTTGGTGTCGGAGGAGACTTACTGTTGAGGACTTTAACCGTGATGGGTTGTTTCTGCTGGATGGTTTGTGTGTGTGGAAAGCGGGCGTAGCAGATGTAGTCGTTCCTGGAGTCCTCCCGGAGTACGTTAGAGAAGTAGAGGTCTCCGTTCAGGGACTGGGACACTCTGTCACTCTGAGGAAGCCTCTGAAAATCTGATATGGATGCTTATTTAAACACACTTACGAGCCAAAAAGTAAATGACACCGAGCAGCGTTGCAGGGGGAAGCAATGGTTAACAAAAAAAAACATCTGAAAACATGTTATGAAATTATAATTGAGTTTTAAGAAAAAGAATGGAAACAAACCACTGGCTCCTCACTTGAACTGCAGCATTTACAGAAATAAATGGCTTACTATTGTCCATCCAGAATATGACGGGAGGAGGCAGGCCTGCTGGGGGGCGACATGGCAGTACCAGGGAAACTCCCTCCTGAACCACGATAGGCTTGATATATTCCTTTGACCACAGGGGGGATCCTGAATTATTGGGATACGGACAAGCACATTAGAGAATGAGGAAGGTCATAATTAGATATGAACTGCTGGCTGCTAATGGAATGTCGCTGGCATGGTGAGAGAGCTGATGAGGTGGGATGCCTAACTGAATTACAATATGCTCGAGGAAAAATACAGCAGGAGAATGGTTTCTATCCACTACCGCTTCCTGCATATCAAAACATGCATTTCCCTACATGCAACCTTTACCTTCCAGGAGTACTCTTAACGTGGCAAGTGAGACTTAAAAGAAAAGAAAGGAAATGATTTTCATGTGATGTGAAATTTGGAGTTTCGCTAAGATGGGATGAAACGAAAAGCGATTCCCTGAAATAACGCACTAAACCACACTCACTTGACTGTCGTATGACTATGTTGTTTGAAACAGCCGTCCCATGCTTGTTCCTGGCCGTGCACTGATACACCCCCTCATAATGCTCCACCCTCTCTCGGCTGATGTCCACCACCAGAGTCCCAGAGTTGGGCTTTATGTTCACATTGGGGTCCTCGTCAACGTCGAAATGGGTCCCATTTCTGGTCCAGGAGAAACTGAGGAGAAAGCAGAATGATCAACATGTCCACATTATTTGAATAAGATGAACTGATGACAAGCACATAATTAACCTGAAAAATGTAAGAAACTCAACCGGAGTTTGAGCAGACAAAGGTCTGAAACCTCCTTTACCTTATCACACTGATTATGTCATCAAGATTAAAGTTAGGTTTAAGAGGCTGAGAAATGTATTATAACAGTATAGTTTCCTGCAAAGTAGCAATGTTGCTAGCAAAATAATCAGGTGTTAGATTCATTTAAATCTTTAAAAAAAAAACCTTGGCTCCCATCAGCCTTTGGCAAGGGCAGAAAGCCCATAAATAAATAGCATTTTATTTTCTACATAAACTGAATGCAAAAAACCCTGCAGTCAGCTGAAACCTTTCCCTTCTTTTGGACAGGTTGAATCCACACCTGAGATCACTCTTCTTTGCCTACATATATCATTTAAATAAACCAAAGTTGTCCTATTCCTACCTGGGATGTGGCTTCCCTTTGGCTTCGCAGTGTATGACGATGTTCTCTCGGGGGTCGATGATGTAAACCTTGGGGGACTGGCGAGTTATTGTTGGCGGCTGAGGCACTATGAGCGATCAGAAAGGGGGAGATATTAAATCACGGCTTTTCCTGCATATCTAAGGCTTTTCTTGCTGCTGTATTGACCACACAAGCTGCATACGCCACACACATGGACACTGTCCACACTTGCAGACAGCGGTTTGCTGACATGCACAGAAAAGAAGAAAAAAACAAAGCTTTCAGATTGTGGGCAAATGCAAAAACAAGCATGCAGAACACTTTGGTGCACTTCCCCTTAGTGCAATTACTCGATGCTAAATGTATTCCTGTCAGGGAGAAAACTAATGAGCTATGACACAAAATATAATAAAATAACTCATGCTTTTCGCAATAAGGATTTCACAGCTGCAGAAACACACGGAACTAAAAACAGCAAGCAAAATAACTCAGTGCATGCATCTTGCCAAATCCACTCCAAAAAACACTTTCATTTTCAACGAGAAATAAAATGAAAAATAAATTAAAACAATAAACAGCGACATAAAACGTTACACACTCATTTGAGACTTACATCCTTCCAGAACTTTTTGTGTTTTCCCCCAAAAATCGGCAAACAAGAAAAACAACGTGACAGCAGAGAAAATCACACGTTATTGATGAAAAATACCGAACTGAATTATTTCTGCGTCACAGCAGGGTTTGGACTTGGTCAACTCACCACCGGTGGTCAATATTTCAGACCAAAGTTAAAAAAAAAAAAAAAGAAGAAAATCAGACACAAGAGAAACAGCCATTAGCTCCATAAACTCAATCGAAAATATTCTGTGTCCTCATTTGTGATTAATATTTGGAAGCTGAGAAAAAGAAAAAATGCTAAAAGGTTCTCAACTAACCATTAGAGTTAGTTGCAATGGAATTATTGGAAAAAAAACTTGCAATCTAACAAACAAAAGAATAAACATTAGATGTGCCTGCAAAAAAAAATAAGTAAAAAAACATCATCCCCTTCCTTCAAGAGTTGGAGAAGCAGTGATGATGGTCAGTTTATGTTTAAAATAAAAAACTATGCATACATATACATACATATATAAGTTAATCTGTTAGTCAAGCTGTTTGACAACTGATTCATTATAAAAAAACCAAAGTGGCCTTTGGTACTTCAGAATAAAGTATATATATGTACATATGTATATATACACATAGTGACCAACAGTTTAAACCAAAGGCCACTTTGCTTTTGTATAATCAATCAGTTGTCAAAGCGCTTGACTAACAGATTAACTGACTAATGTTTCGGTTAACTGGAGCATCCTCTGGTATTTCGGCACACGGTGTGGGGGTGCGATCCGTTGCTTACGGTCTAGTGGGACCTCCAGCGCCATGGCGAGGTGTCCCAGCAGGAGCACCAGCAGCGCCACATCCAGCCTCCTCTTCTCCATCATCGGCGTGTGGCACGAAGGTCTGACCCTGAAGAGCAGCGATGTCCCGCCTCTCTGCCGCTCAGTCACGCTGTCCGGAGACACGTGCACATCCACAACTGCACGGAGTGATGGAAACAAAGGAGAAAACAGGCAGAAGATCAACGGTAGAAAGGTGGAGGGCGAGAGCACTGAGGCTATCCGTCACAATCCCGAGTTTGTTATATTCTGGGTTGATGGGAGGGTCAGAGAGAGGATGGGCGAGACACGTTCGTAAACTTAAGCTACTGCCACAGATCAATGTTAGTGCCATGTACTGCATTTTGCTGGGAGCTGCCCTGTCGATCTGGAGCGTTCCGATACGGATCGACAAGGCACAGATGGGCTCGTTTTGCTGCACTCATCGCTGTTGTCGTCCACATGCCATTAGGCTTTGCTGCCATGTCAATTTCATCAGGCAGCGCATGACGCGCCAAGGTTCAAGACAGGGAGACGCACTCTCCATTCCATCCCATTTTCCCCTCGGTTTTTATCGGTTTGAGTGACTGGCAGACTGAGCCGGGGGCAAATTGATCTCCAGTGAGGTCAGATATCAGTCACTGAACCATCAGTCTTTTATGAGACTGGCGGAGTGGGAAATGTCACTGGACAGATCTTTGATCTTTGAGGTGTCTGTTTAGTGTGGACAGATGGGGTAGATTCTACAAGGTGCTCTGGTTAAAGTGAGGTCACTTGTCCTTCTGGGCAAAACTGTGAAAGGTTAACTGGATATTGATTTACCATCATTTTTCTTTGTTACAAGGCATTGTCCAATCATTTGTGGTGGATGGTGTGTGGACAGCAACTGACTAGAAAGCACAACAAAATGAGCCTGTGGTTTTACCAGTAGGTGTTATTCACTTGTTGCCATTGTTACCGTATAACACCTTGTTCCCACCGCAGAAATTATTCCAGGAAATAAATCTAAAATAGGATTATAGTGGGCTGAAAACGTTTAATATCAAGTTGGTCTAAATTAAGACTAAAGACACTGAAGTTAAACCTCCTTCTGGCCTACTGTTATTGGAGGAATCCGGTGACAATGTATAAAATGTCATTATGTCTCATTTATAATACAGACACACTGATTTGCTGCATTGTTGCAAAAGTAGATTATAAAAGGTTGGTTATCAGTGCTGGTTAGAGAGAGAAGGAATCAGCTCTGCTACTTTGAAGGTGAATCTGCACTCGTGCACTGCTTGTTCGCTCTGGGGCACGGCGAGAGTCAAGGCAGCAGATGAGGTGATGGAAGCTGTGTCTGGGACCAGGGGCTACACAGCCAGGCAGTCGGACCTGCTTCTCGTCTGGTTCTCCGTGGGGAGCTAATGTATTTTTTAGCACTGCCCCATGGTCACGATAGAGTGCTGGCCCCTAAAGCTGGTGTCTGGTGGCATGGGAAGAGACCCGGGCTAATGTCTATAGCCCCCAGCATCAGCCACTCCTCTCCGGGGAAGGCCTGTATTGTTTGCGCCTGGCAGCCAATCACGCGGCTCTGTTCACCGAGAGGCCGGCCCAGCTAGGGATTTGACTGACAAAGATCCAGGCTTTCACATCATCAAACTCATCAAAGGCGGCAGGTGAGGCTGTGGAACATGAACGTAGTCTTTCTTTTAATATGCCACCAAGCTTTGTGTTCGAATTTTATAAACAGTTTTCATTTCTGCTAAATCTACTCATGGTAATGACTGAGTTGCGTGAAGTTCAACACTATCAAAAGTTCTGTAATTGCTTCTTCTGAACCCCCCCCGCCAAAAAAATACATCTCAAACCTAAGAGTAACCAGTCATGGCTGAAGTTAAAAATATTTTTCTAAAAACTATGACAGGAGGAGAGCAAACGGACTGAGTCTAAATTTCACGGTGAATCCCCAAAAGCCTGGAGATTCTATCTGGTGTGGAGCCTCGGCTTCATCCAGGATTCATTTCCCAACTTAATGAGGTGCAGCAGCTCAGCTCCAGCCAGTCAGCATTTGTGCGTCTTTATGTGGTTAGAGTGTGTGCCTGTGCCTTTAGTCGCTTGAGTGTGCTAGTGTGTGCAGTATGTGTCTGTGCTGCAATTATTCCACTGAGCCCCGGTGATATGAGGCCAGCTCCTCACATCCCTCTCACAGCTGGTGCAAATTCAAGGGTGGCTCTTAAGACTACCACACCATCCAGAAGAATAAAAGTTCAAATGAACAACTGCAGATTTAACACCTTCACTTTAAATGTCTTCAACAACCAACATTTTATGTTGGCAAAAGTGAGTCATTTAGGAGCTAAACCTCTAAAGAAACACAGGCTCATTTTCATATGCGATTCCTTTAAGGACACACAAAAACCCGCCTCTATTGTTAAACTTTACTATGTATCCTGCGCTGACAGGGAGCTAAAGCTAAAGTCAATATAGCCCTCTTGCTGAGGTCCAGATAAATCCACATCACTGTTTGGAGTGCTGTGCCAAAAGCTGTCAGACGGCAGATGAAATCGAACAGGAAATGGCCTCTTACAAAGCACTACAACAGGTTGGTGACGGCACATCCATTGAGTTGTTTTTTTTCCCATATAGATAAGGCAGAAAAGAAGATAAACTCCACTACCATCTGACTCTGAGAACTCTATATATTGGTTACTCGTGGATAATGATGACAATTTGGTGTACTTAAAGGCCCTGTTAAATCAATGTGATGTTTAAGTGCTTTAATGTCATACAAGGTGCTGCATTGCACACTTTGCTTCAACTTATTGACAATATATGGTCTAATGGGAAATTTTTGTCTGCTATTTATTTACGCGGCCTTGAATTAAGTAATCTACATTTGAATGTCTCTGGAGGTCTGTCATTCCACTAGTTTGATACATGAAGTACACCTACACCTTACACACCTTAGGTACTCCACCACTGAGGACACCAACACACACGATGTTGGAACACAGGCTATTGCTGCCAGTCTGTGTTTAAACGTCCATGCATCCAATTTCGTAACCGCTTATTCCCTAATGTGGTCGCGGGGGGACTGCAGCCTATCTCAGTGGTCAATGGGCGAGAGGCGGAGTCACCATGGACGCTCCATCACAGGGCCACACAGAGACACACAAGGACGAACAACCACGCACACTCACACTCACTCCTAAGGGCAATTCGGCCCTTGTGTTTACACAAAAAAAAGTCAAAAGTGGACGTTTACAGGGCTCACATATTTTACAGATTTTTGAGTAAATAAATTAAAAGAAATCAGAGGTCTGTTGCAAACAAACATCTGTAGAACAGCTGCACAGTTTGCTCTCTGTGTACTGCAGACGTAGGAAAGGCATGTGCAATAACGATTCGTTTCCATTAAGCGACACAAGCTAAGCCTTAATTACTGTCTGCGAAGTGGAAGGCTGTGATGTTAATTACTGTCTGCAGATACATGAGAGCGTCCTGGCTCGGGCCTTGCTCCTTGCTTTGGATTCTGCCGGTGAAGAAAAAACGCTCTGCTCTGTCAAAGCTGCAGTGAGATGCCTGGCCTCTCTTTCAACCGGCCTCTTCAATTACTCCATTGTCATTTCCCCATAGCCGGCTACTTCACCATCCCAAAACTAATTGGTTTTGTGCACATGTCAGAAATGCGCGCACACACAGGCACACACACACACACATACACACACACAATGTATGCCTATTCACTCGGACCATCCGCAGAACATGAGGGTCAAGACTCGTCTGAACACACAGATGGAGGTGACAGGGGCACAAGAGGGCTGAGAAGGAAAGCAATCTGCAGTGTAAATGAAAAGCAATCAGCCAAGAAAATATTCCAACTGAGCTCCTGTAATAGCAGCAGATAACACAGAACTGTATGCTTGGAGCCAACAAGCAAAGATTAGTGCTGCCGGTGCTAAACAGCCGTGATGCAACAACGCAAACCCCACAGAATCCAGACATTGCATCAGGACTGCACAGATTTTAACATCTTTGACGAAAGAAGGGGTCTTACTCCCGAGCCAGGCAACCTAATTAACTCCCCCTAATCACTCCCACTGATGGCTCGTGCAATCAGGAGTTTGTGGGGCCCGGTGTGGCCTTAATGGAGCAGCAGGGGATCCTCCACAGGCGACTAAATGGGGAATATTATGATGAGAGTGGCTTCATACCCCGGAGGGTGGTGATGAGAAAATGGATTTGGTTGAAAGAGTTTATGTTTCACAGATTTCCTGCGTGTCCCTTTCCGGGGGTACAAGTGTTTCCTTGTGCCAATAAGCGGCAAAAGCTTTGCCACAGAATTTGGCATCTCAAATTTGGGAAAACCGAAGCCGTGTGGAGCTTTGTCATCCTTTTCACAACAGGAATATTACTTTTTTTCTCTCCTTTAAAAGGTTACTTTGCCTCTGCAGGCTCTAGATTTACTGTAAATTATACTGTATTATATATATGTATGAAATCTGGTCAGTGATTTTAAAAAATACCTCGTACAGGCCTTTTCATGACCACAATGGAAATTCCATGGTCTGGCTTCAGTGTGCATTTCCCCTAATCTTCTCATTAGCCTTTATAATTGGGGGACCGTATGCAAATAATTGATGTGGTTAACATAAGAGATGGCATCCTGTTGTTCATGGAAACCCCACAGCTGAAAGAAAAAAAAAAAAAAAAAGGAGCCTTTCATCAGAACTGCACATTGCTTGACAATAAGGGATCCTCAGTCATCAGCTTGCCCGTTAAAATACTGTATGCTGTTTGTTTTTCTTCTCTTTTTAGCTTTTTCTTGTTGGTTGAACAATGCTGTCCACAACTGCTGTGCGCTTTGATGTACAAAGATTCCACCCAGCCTGTTTGTTAATATAAGCTTTTGTCTATGCTCGGTGGATTCCTCATAATAAACCTCTGCGTATGATGTGGGATCCATGAGTCACGCACGCTGTGAATATAGACTCTAGCTTCGGCTTGGATACCCTAAATCCTTTCAAAGGAAGCCTTTGACTGGGAGGAATAGACTTTAGTCACAGCATGCACAGGTGTTTTAATGATGGCAACGTTTCCACACAGAGGAGGTCCTGCTGGTGTGTCCTGGTCTGCTGCTGTAGTTTAGTGGGACACTAAAGGGAACCGAGCCATCATTAATGGAATTGATTCCCCCTGCACTTCTCCTGCTGCTGCAGATCAAG